ACGATGTGGCATATGATGTGTTTTTTTGCCACATCACTTTATATAAAATAAAATAAATAAAAAATAATACTTATAAATAAAATTGGACATTTATTTAAATAATAAAATAAAAACCCAAAATATTATAGCAAAGCCACGATTTACAAACCCAAAAATTTTGTTCTCCCCCCTGCTCCTCCTTCCAGCCGCCGAGCACCTTCTTCCTGTCGATAAAGACAGATGGAAACAACCTCGATCTTGTCGGCCAGCTTCCATTCTGGTATTAAGGAGCGAATCGACGGATGTAAGCAGGGGGAAGCAGGACCCGAATCAGCGGCGAGCTCGATTGCAGTGCAAAATTGGGCGGCGGCGAGCTCGAATGGGCGGCGAGCAGGCCCAACTATAGATCAACAGTGAATCGAGAGACCCCGCCTGGTGGCATCGATTTCATCTGACCCTCGACCACGCCGCAACCTCCCCCACTATCTCCATCGACAACCCCCAACTCTCAATCATATCTGGAAGAGTTCGATTAGAACAGAGGATCGTGTCGGGCCATCGTCGCTGCTCCAATTCAGCTCCGGGAGCAGAAGGAGCTCAATGGGTTGATTACCAAGGTGGATTACAGGAAGCTTTTGGGATTGCATGAAGAATCAGAAGGAATCGTTTGATTGGGATTCAGAAATCTGGGTTTCCATCCCAGATGCATCTCGTCGCGCCACTCCCCACCGCCTCTCCTCGTGCCAGCACCACCGCGTCTAGTCACGCCGTCGATCTGGGGTTCGTCGGGCGAGAAGGAAGAATAAAACGCAGAGGGAAGTTTGTGGAGTGGATGGATATGTTCGCTATGGAGGATTGAGGAATGAACGAGAGGAGCTGAAGGAAGAAGAGGGGAAATTGGATGGGTCGTTGCTAGAGAATGAGAAGGAGGAGTAGCAAGCCCGATGGTTAGCTCCAAATTCAAATCCTCTCGTCGCTCGCCTCCAACGGCGGTGGCCATGTTTGGTGAAGGGTTTGCAACAACGACGAGGAAGGAGAAAGAAATCTTTGGCGGAAGTTGGATGTGAAGATGATGGGTTTACTTTTATTTATTAATTGAAAATAAGTAAATAAATTATTAGTAGGAAATAAAATAAACATATCATATAATTTTAAATGATTATTGTTGATGACATGGCAATTTTCAGGTGACATGTTGACACCACATCATAGTCAGTCAAATTGACTTTGACTGTGGTTTGGTCAACCGTTAAGTCTAACGGTCAACAAAATGACGGAGGACATTTTTGACATGGAGACTTTAAACTTTGGGACATAACTGACGCAGTATAAACATAGGGGTACAAGTGACAGAAAACCTAAACCATAGGCCTTTTTCTGGTATTAGGCCTTGAATTTAAATGGATTGAATTAGATGAATAATTCGGTGTATGGATTGAATTGGATTCATGAATTTGAAGCTCTTTATTTTCCGAAATCCTTCCCACTCATTTACCTTTCTAGACCCTAGTTCTACCACTGCTTTGTGTATTGTAGGAAATGAGGTAGCTTTTTTGTCGATTATAACAAGGTAGCTTTTTTCTTCTCTCCAGGAAGATTCATTTTATAAGCATTTGCCGTTTCCTTTGGCAACTCTTGGGGCTTGTTTGCGCCACTCAAGTACTTGCCTAGGGAATGAGGTAAGTGGTGTGGTAAGCCTGACCGATGAACTGGTCAATGCCTTAAGTTTACAAGAAGTGAAGGAAAAAAGAAAGCGAGTAGGAGAAGTTGCTTCAAGAGTTGAAGAGGTTAATCTCCCTACCTTTTATTCCACAATCATTTTAGTATATACTGCATTTTCTATCATTTATAGTTTTATTAATATTTGTGCAGGTCACAATCCTACTTGATGAATTGTTAGATAAGGAGGAGCTCAATGAAACATATCTACATGGAAAGAGTTACAAGTGCGAAACCTATTATTGGCGCAATCCGAGAACGGCTACCTCCTGCACACATGTTCACTTGGGAGCTTTACTTGAAGGTTCTTTTGTGGGTTTGAAATCAGATTTAGAGAAGATTAGTAAGGTTCGTAGTTCTTATAATTAATTATTAATTATACATTCTTTTTAGCCTTCTTGGATTACTAATTCTTTTTTTTTTATATTGCATTTTAGTTCCAATCCGCCCTAGATCAGAGGGAGGACTATTTGACGTGCTTGCATCAGAAGAAAGAAAGAGAGCTGCCTCTGAAGATAAATATTTTGGGGCTGGCCCTCAACTTATATATGATTGTGATAGCCATCTTTGGAGTGAGTTCTGATGTTGGGTTCCGGGTACACGAATGGAGATTTTTTCAGAAATAGCACTGTTTAAAAAAAAAATCCAAAAATAGCACCCAACTACGAAAAATTCCAAAAATAGCATCCTTTTTACAAAACCGCCACGCATACCAGCGGTTTAGGCGAAAACCGCCACACGGAGGCGCGTTTTTCAATGAAAACCGCACTGGTAGGGGGCGGTTTTGCAGACCGCACCCCCACCATGCGGTTTGGTTGCAGACCGCACCCCCACGATGCGGTTTGTTTGCAGACCGCACCCTCACGATGCGTTCTGTTTTTTTTTTTTTTTTGGAAAATCCTAACCTAGGTGGAAACTTCAAACGAACGTATCTTTATGTTCGGGTATCCGATCGTCGCGATTTGTTTTTTGATTCCGCGTAACTTTTTGAGATCTTGCAAGCCGAAGACTACCAAAGGTGGTTTGGTCCCGCCTTCGTCCCAAAAAATGTCGTTTGCTACCCCGAACGAGTTTTTTTCCGATTTCGTCAAACTTTGGACAACCGTAACTTTGTGCTCCAAAATCCAAACGACATGAATTTTTTTTTTTATTTCGCATAACTTTTTAAGGACTACAATTTTTACTAGCAATGAATTTTCAAAACAGGAATTATTTTTGGATATACAGGATTTTGGGAATAGCTTAAGTTCCCTTCTCAGCAATCCACGTACATTTTGAAATTATGTCTATGATAAAAGTTGTATTCCTTAAAAATTTATGCGAAATAAAAAAATTTCATGTCGTTTGGATTTTGGAGCACAAAGTTATGGTTGTCCAAAGTTTGACGAAATCGGAAAAAAGTTCGTTCGGGGTAGCAAACGACATTTTTTGGGACGAAGGCGGGACCAAACCCCTTTGGCAGTCTTCGGCTTGGAAGATCTCAAAAAGTTATGCATAAAAAAAAAATCGCGACGATCGGATACCCGAACATAAAGATACGTTCGTTTGAAGTTTCCACCTAGGTTAGGATTTAAAAAAAAAAAAAAAAAAAGCAGACCGCATCGTGGGGGTGCGGTCTGCAAAATGCGCCCCCGGGTGGCGGTTTTCATAGAAAAACGCACCTCCGGGTGGCGGTTTTACAAAAAGGGTGATATTTTGAAATTTTTCGGAGTTGGGTGCTATTTTTGGAAAAATTTTTAAACAGTGCTATTTTTGGAAAAATCTCACACGAATGCGAAGTTCTTTTCTGTTGTTTTGGCGGTGTTGTTTGTTGCGTAGCATTCTATGCGATTATTGTCAAGCTCCTACTCCGTTAGTGTTTGTCTAATCAAAACCTAAACTATGACTATTGACTGTATAGTATTTAATTAAATTCGAATCACTTGATCCATGTATATATTTTTGTGAATTGATTGATTTCATAAGATGGAATGATTTGAATTTGTATTAAGAATGATTACATATTTGTTGTTTTCATGATAAATTAGGGTTGTTTCAGTTTTATAACTGAAAATTTACATTATGAATTTTAGGTATTATCCACGAATATTCAAAAATTAGGTTTGGATTTGAATAGTTGAACTTGGGATTGGAAAGGGATATGACACGCTGTATTCCTAAACATTTTGTTAGCCAGCTCAAGCAAGGTTGTTAAACCCCTATTGGGCTCCAATGGGATCGGTCTGACCGATCGGGTCCTTATCAAACTAATAAACCTCAAACCCCTTGTTTGACTAACTCAATGACTTACACCGGTTTGACAACCCTGGTCTCTAAAGGATTTGAAAGTTGAGATTGTTAAATAGATATATTTTGTTAATATGTGAATAATATTATACATGTATTGATGTATTTGGCGCATTTTAAAATTCAGCATTTGGTATGTGTGATTGTGTATGTTATATAAGCTATAAGCTGAGATAAAACTATCTCAAACTAAAAGCTCAGATATAACAATCACTCATTTTGAGTGAGTTTTTGTCACATCACATAAGCAAACGGGTATGCAATGGTCCGAGACCGGACCACACTAGACCGAGTATAATGCGGTTTGGTCCTTGGTCCATATTGACTTTACAATTACTGAAGAAATGATGGGACGAGTTGATATTTGGATTGTACCGAATCAGACCAAATGGACCGAACGCAATGATGGTCCGGTCCTTAGTGCTGAGATGTCTTTCACTAATGGATCGTGATTCTCATGAGTTCGGTCTTGTACAGACCGGACTGAACCATTGCACACCCTTAGAAGCAGGTACAGTAAGATGATGGATTCTAAACAAGTACAGTAAAAATCTCACATAAACAATCACAACTCCCAAACTAAGTCTTATTCTCGCCCGCTCCTCTGTTCGTTTTCTTTTTTTCAACTAAACTTTTCAAAGTTGTCACACTGACTACAACAATATGGAAAAATGACGATTAAGGGGTTGTTGGGAGGTTTGTATTCTCCAATTTATGTATTTAATCAATTTGTGTATTGTAATTTGATGCATTATGTCAATTTATGAATTTAAAGAATATATTATTTGAAGATTTGGAGATATTGAATAATTTTGGTGATTTCTCAAAAAATTAGAGAAGAAATAAGTGATTAACAAAAAATCACTAATTCTGCTAATTAAAAAATACATTATTTGAAGATTTGGGGAGATTGAATAATTTTGTTGATTTCTCATAAAATTAGAGAGAAGAAATAAGTGATTAACAAAAAAATCACTAATTCTGCTAATTACATGAGAAATCTCAACTTTTAAACCAACCCTAAAGCTAAAACGGACGTGGAACTTCATTGAAAGCACAAGAAGCAAAAGGTTTCGATTCAATAGCCAGAGGAAGGGACACTCGCGTTTCATTATTTCGTTGACAGCATAAGGATTCGAAAATGTAAGTTTCAGCTCTCTTCTCCCTTTCATCGTTTTCTATCTCAGCTCTCAATGGCGTGTCATTTCCCTTTCTCCTCTTCTGCATACCTCAAAACCCACAAATTCCAACCAAGTCCCCGCCTTTACCCTGCCATTTCATGCCGGAATCAAGACCCAGATGCTGAAGTTGACGATAAACACCGGAATGCCCGTAATACCAATCATACCCATTTGAATTTTCTCGCTATCCCCATTACTCTCACTGTTATCTCCACCGCCCTAGCATCAAAACCGGCCCTTGCTGCTGCAGCAGCGACGGCGAAGACTAGCCAGAAAAGAAAAGCCAAGAAAAAAGCACAGGAGACCTTGAGCCCCGACCAGCTCAAGCAATGGACTAAGAATCTGCCTCTTGTGTCGAGTCGAATACCGTATACTGAAATTCTGAGTTATAAAGAGCAAGACAAGCTGAAGCATGTAATTAAGCCGCCCAGTGCGCGGATGAAGGAGCGTGCTGAGTCTGTTCTGGTTGTTTTGGATGACAATCAAGTGTTTAGGACCGTGTTGCCTTCCATTGAAAGTAACAAGAGGTTTTGGGATTCTTGGGATGAGTTAAAGATTGATACTTTATGTGTGAATGCTTACACGCCTCCTGTTAAGAAACCAGAACTGCCTAAGCCGTATCTGGGCTTTCTGTGGAAAGTTCCTGAGTTCATATTGGCGAGGCTTGAGCCTAAGAAGGAGTCAAAAAGAGCTATGGAAATCAGGAGGATGAAGGAGGAGTTCAAGAGGCAACAGAAAGAAGAGCTGGCAATAATGAGAGAGGAAAGGGAAATGATGGAGAAAGCAATAAAAATTCAACAGAAAGAAGAGAGAAGGAGGAAGAAGAGGGATATCCAGAAGAAGAAGCACCGTGAATCACTGCGTGATGCACGGGCAAATTCTACCAAAATGGCAAACATTTGGGCTGATTTGGCTCAGGACTCGAATGTTGCGACATTCTTGGGATTGGTGTTTTTCGTGATATTTTATAATACGGTAGTGCTTAGTTACAGGAAGCAGAAGAAGGACTATGAGGATAGGTTGAAGATTGAGCAGGCAGAGGCAGATGAGAAGAAGAAGATGAGAGAGTTGGAGAGGGAAATGATGGGCATTGAGGAAGAGGAGGATGAGGAAGGTGGTGAGCCAGGGAAAGCAGAAGAGAATGCTTACATGAAGATGGCTATGCAGTTCATGAGGTCTGGGGCACGGGTTAGGCGGGCTCATAATAAGAGGTTGCCTCAGTATCTAGAAAGGGGTGTGGACGTGAAGTTTTCGGATGTTGCAGGGCTTGGCAAGATAAGGCTTGAGCTTGAGGAGATTGTGAAGTTTTTCACACATGGCGAGATGTACCGGAGGAGAGGAGTCAAGATTCCAGGTCAGAATGTGGTACTTGATAAGTCATACACTGTTGCTTATTGCCAAACTATGAACTTCTGACTAAATTTTTTTGTTCAAATGTCTGAGATGTATATCCTGCTAGTCATTTTTTCATTCCTCTTTGATGTCTTGATTATTTGAGCATTTTATATGGAAACCGGTTCCATTTTTCTCTAATTAATTAGGAAGTGCATTTTATTCTTCTTCGGAACGAGCTAACTGAGACATGCACTCTTGATAATGCTCTCTCCCTATGGCCTTTCTAAAGATCAAATGAAAATATTGTAAATGGTGGCTCTTAACAAAAAACACTATCAACCTCACTTAACCATGTTCTTAAAGGTTGGCGTGAAAGCACAAAATTAGTGGTTTTATTGCCGCTTAGAGTATGAGTCCTTCAGGTTTAGTCTGAGGTGCTAGTTCTTTGTGTTTGTCCATTGTATGTATTTTACTGGTTAGCATTAACTGTTCTATGCGATCAGTTTGCTCGTCACTTGTATGTTCTGGGATTGTGCAGCTTGTTTTTCCTTCTCCTAGTAACTGGTTTAGGATAGGGTTAGACTTCTTTTGTATAAGCCATCTGTGAAGATGAATGTTTTCTCTGTTTGCTTTCCTTTGTGGAGTTATATATGTATGTACTTAATCCACAGCTGCTTGCTTTCTTTTGCACATGAGTTTCGGCTTAAATTTGGTGTTTAATTAGGTGGAATACTTCTTTGTGGGCCCCCTGGTGTTGGGAAGACCTTGCTAGCAAAAGCTGTGGCTGGTGAGGCTGGCGTCAATTTCTTCTCCATATCTGCCTCTCAGTTTGTGGAAATATATGTCGGGGTTGGCGCTTCTCGTGTTCGATCACTTTACCAAGAAGCAAGGGAAAATGCAAGAAACTGTACCTTAGCTGCTGATTATATTTAATTTCTTGAAGCATTGCTGAACTGTGCCTATTAATGTGATTTATTGCATGGGAAAGCACTTATTTTATGTGGTCTTCTGTTTCTAATTTTTTCCAGTGATGCTCTTGCGTATGTAGGCTCCATCTGTGGTCTTCATTGATGAACTGGATGCTGTTGGAAGAGAACGTGGTCTGATTAAAGGTTCTGGTGGACAAGAACGTGATGCTACTCTGAACCAGGTCTGTTGGTGGTTCACATAATTTGCTCTTGCATCTCCATACTTCCTGTAGTTAAAGATTCATTTGGTGAATTTATAATAACTCTATATAACCTCCAGCTCCTAGTATCCCTGGATGGATTTGAAGGACGAGGTGAAGTGATCACCATTGCTTCCACAAATAGACCAGATATTTTAGATCCAGCACTTGTGCGCCCTGGTCGTTTTGACAGGAAAATCTACATCCCTAAACCTGGTCTCATAGGTCGCATGGAAATCCTCAAGGTAATGTTTCAAGTACTAGTTCTTGAGGTCAAGACATATGATAAGGTCATCATGCCTACTGGTGTCTGTATTATAGATCTTTTTGTTGCTAGGTTCATGCTCGCAAGAAGCCGATGGCTGAGGATGTGGACTACATGGCTGTAGCCAGTATGACTGATGGGATGGTTGGTGCGGAGCTTGCAAACATAATTGAAGTTGCGGCCATTAACATGATGCGTGATGGCAGAACTGAGGTGTGTGCTATTGATATATCATTGAGATTTGTATTCTCTTCCTGATTGTTACTTGATGTTAAGGTATAGTTCGTCTGTGATATGTTCTGGGCTTGTTTTCTGATAAAAGGATTTTTGTAAAAGGATCACCTCGATTGCAGCCAAATATGAGATAAAACTTGCTGGAAATAGATGTCAAGAACCAGTTGCTCCCAATAACTCGAGTTGTTGGGAGAAGGTTCTGTTGGATCTTATACCACTCTCTAACACGCCTCCTCAAACGAAAGCCAACTCATGGGCTTGAAGTTTGCACAGGCCCACCATACCATGTGCTTGAAAGACAATGGTTAATATTGGAGGTCGTGAAGATTCGAACACATGACCTTTCGGTTCTAGGCTCTGATACCATGTCAAGAACCAGTTGCTCCCAATAACTCGAGTTGTTGGGAGAAGGTTCTGCTGGATCTTATACCACTCTCTAACAATAGAAGTTCATATGCCGTCTTATTGTGTACCATCATTCACAATATTGGTTGGATTCTATCAGGCTACTGTTGTTTTCAATTTGGCCACTTTTGGTGCCTTGGTCAAGTATATTGCAAGGGGTCTGTATACAGGCAGGCAGGTGGATGTATTGTTTATTCTTGTTACCATTACGCCTATTAATCTGTTTTTGAAGAATCTTCTTGCAAGTGCAGATAACTACTGATGACTTGTTACAAGCTGCACAAATCGAAGAGAGAGGAATGCTGGACAGAAAAGACAGAAGCACTGAGACTTGGAAGCAAGTAGCTATCAATGAAGCTGCCATGGCTGTTGCAGCCGTGAACTTTCCTGATCTCAGGAATATTGAATTCGTATGTCCTTGAACTTAACTCATTTCCTTTGAGGTAGTTTTTTGTATGGCTTCCTTCTCTTCCTATATCATTGCCGGTAACTAAGTAAGAATGTTTTGCTCATATATGATATGAAGGCCAATACTTCCTAATAACAACTGAATAATGCTCTTACAAGGTCTAACAAGATGTTGTCTCATTGCTACCTTAATCATTGTTGTAATTGCACTCATGATCATTGCTCTGTGTTACCACTTGTGAGCAGGTTACAATATCTCCTCGAGCTGGTAGAGAACTTGGTTATGTTCGGCTGAAAATGGATCATCTCAAATTTAGAGAAGGGATGCTCAGGTGAATATATTATTTGAAACTGCTTTCAGATATAATTTACTAATGACCATCCAGTCAGGCTAGAGAGATCAGTTAGTATAGCATGGCAAGCACAGGTTGTTATGTGAATGATTTAGTTTTTAGTTAGCACTTAGAATGGATTTTGATCGATACTGTCATGGTTTCACATGCAGTCGGCAATCCCTACTGGATCATATCACTGTGCAATTAGCACCACGAGCAGCTGATGAGTTATGGTATGGCGAGGGTCAGGTAAAGTCATTCATTCCCCATGTTTTGCTTTCTTTGATGGTTCTAATTGGTGTCTTTGAAGAGTATTATGGACTTATGGAATTTGATCAACGAGCTAGCTGATGATAAGAAGCATTTTTTATTTCCTTTAAAGATGATATTGGGAATGGCACATGAAATGACCTACATTTCTGCACTTCTCTATGAGAATAGCTTACTTAGGAATTCCTCTAATTGCTTATTCAGAAAAGATAATGGTCTGGGCTGTTGAATACAGTTCTCATCATGATATCTGGTTATGCTGAGTTCATATAACAGTGTGGGGCCTGGGGTTATTTTATCAACAAAGAAATGCCTAAAGTTGGATTGAATCATTTCCAGTTGAGTACAATATGGGCTGAAACAGCAGACAATGCGAGGTCGGCAGCAAGAACCTATGTTCTTGGTGGGCTTTCAGAGAAGCATTATGGGGTATCCGACTTCTGGGTAGCAGACCGGATAAATGTATGTATATGCACACTCATCTTGACTCCTCGCCAGCTCTGCAATTTTTAGTGCATGTCGTGATTGTGAATCTGTTAAAATTGCAGGAAATAGATTTAGAGGCCTTGCGGATATTGAACATGTGTTATGATCGTGCAAAAGAGGTAATTGTTTTCTCAGCAAGCAACAACCCTTGCAAATTCTCCAAGCAACCTGGTAACAAATCTTTTTTGTGGTTGTCCGTTCTTTGTGCATCATCAGATTCTGAATGAGAACCGAAAGCTGATGGATGCAATCGTGGATCAACTTGTCAACAAGAAAAGCTTGTCAAAACAAGAGTTTACCAACCTAGTTGAGTTGCATGGCTCCATCAAACCTATGCCCCCAAGCATACTTGACCTCAGAGCTGTCAAGCGTGCCGAGTTTCAAAGACTCTTGATGAGCCAGGCACAAGTCGACATCAACTTGTGAAACCGGTTCCCACACCAATTAGTCTTGGTAACTGATGCAACTTTGTAGCCAAACGAGCATTAGGATACCTTCCTAGGGGGTATTGGGTTCGTATAAATTCGTCATTTCCAATCCCTTGTTCGTTACGCTATAGTTGAATTTACTTGCCCGAGTTAACATTACGGCAAACGACAGGTTGTACTCCAGAAAGAGCATACTAGTGGCTCGTTTGGAGGATATGAGTTTAAATCTATAGATTATTGGCAATCTAAAGAGTTTAACTATTTGAATTGTTGAAAACATATTTTAAAATATTTTTTGTTCGATAATTGTGATTTTTAACATTCAATTAAAATAAAAAATTTAATTTTATATTAAATAAAATTTACAGTGGTTCGATAAATATTAAAAACTTTGTTGATAAATATATTTAATGTGATAGATAAATAAAAGGTAGAGAAAAAGTAGGAGGAAATCCCTCAAGAATTAAGATATAAAATCTCTCTTATTATTAGAGACATTCTACAAAATCTACTTGTTATTATTCTTATTAAAAGCCATGATTTTTACATTTTATTAAGAGGTTTAAGATTCTTCTACAAATGTCATGGTTCGCATTTTACTAAGAGGTTTAATGGTAATTATCTACAACTCTAAGGGTATTATTGAGAGAGCATTTGGACCATTTTAGTCAATTGTTTTTTTTTTTGTTGCTTATTGGTCCATTTTTCATTAACGTTTAATTCGATTTTGTGATCTTTTGTACCGAATGTAAATGTAACATCCCGAACCTTTTCTCGAGCAAGATATTGCCCGCTTTGAGCCTCGACCCTCACAGATTTCGACTTGGAGTGCAATTCAAGGTGACTTATGGTTCTTGTTGTACTCCACTTTGAGCACGTTTAATTTCAGAGTTCTCACAAGAACTCCTCCATTTCACCCCAAACGAGTCTTGTCAGTTAAGATCGGTTTCTTACTTATGAACCATGAATCTCTCCCGTGTTTTGTCGATGTGGGATTCGCCTAAGGTGTACATACACTCCCCTTGGGACTCAACGCCCTCGTTGAGGTTTGCCCCACCATCGTTCAAGAGGGACGAAAAATAGGCTTTGATACCACTTGTAACATCCCGAACCTTTTTCCGAGCAATATATTGTCCGCTTTGGGCCTCGACCCTCACAGATTTCGACTTGGGGTGCAATTCAAGGTGACTTCCCCATAAGGTCGCCCATCTTTGTTGTACTCCACACTGAGCAAGTTTAATTTCGGAGTTCTCACAAGACTCATTTTCACCCAAAACGCGTCTTGTCAGTGAAGTCCGGTTTCTTACTTATGAACCATGGATCTCTCATGCTTGGTCAATTCACCGAAGGTATTACAGTAAAAGTTAAGTTTTTTTCTTTTGCTTTTCAGTTTCCGTTTGAATTTTACTATTCATTTAGAGGTTTAAAGGTAATATTTTTTTTAACTCATAGTATTATTGAGATAGTTTGGATCATTTTTTTATCAATTAGTTTTCCTCTTGCATTGTTTGGGCCAATTTTATTAATGTTTAATTCAATTTTGTCATCTTTTGTGCCCAATATAGAGGTCAAGTTTTTTCTTTTGATTTTCAACTAGTGCTATTTTGGAGCTTTTTTTTTACAAAGATAATGTTGTATTGATTGAAAGAGAGATCAAACATATTACATTATGATATTCAACCAGGAAAGAAAATCAAAAGAGCGGCAAGTAGTCGGGTACAAAGAAATAGCTTTTCTAACCACCACGTGGGCTACACTATTGCTATTCTGACCTACAAATCGTACATTAAGACCGTTATGATTTGCCACCAAAAAACAAACTTCCTCGAGAATGACTCCAAAGTGATTATCTTGTTTATCAACCTGGTTGACCTTATCAATGACCACATTCGCATCCCCTTCAAACCGAATCTGTGAGAGACCACAATCCAGGCACCATAGATGGACTCACAGAGGAGTAATAGTTCCACTGGTAGTGGATCATCAATATAATTGATATGGGAACCACAAGCCAAGACAATCAAACCACCCTGGTGTTTTATAATTATTCCCCTCGTCGAGTGTGATGCATCCTTATTGCACCATCCCACATGCTAGTGGCTGAGACAGGGGTTGAAGCATTCACACTCTCAATCTGGGGGGGGGGGGGGGGATTTGAAGGCACTCTGTCAGATGGTAAACCAATTCATTCCTGGACTTGTTGATGATACTGGCGCATCAAAGATATAACTCATAATTGTTTCCCTTCAAAACAACCCAATTCCTGGATTTCCAAATTCGCCAGAGGGCCGCGACAATAGTCATACTCTGATGGGGTTGATCAAGCAATAATATCAACTTCTTGAGAAACAGGGGGAAGTTCTGGCGAGGGAGCCCTTGGCCTAGATATTCTAGGCCACCGTGATCCTGAATTTCCCATGCCACTGGACAGTTGAGAAATAGATGCTATATAGTCTCCGAGTCAGCCGAGCACACCTGACATCGAGGTAACACTTGCACCTTCTTCTCATTTATTGATTCCATAGTTGGGAGAACGCGATTGAAAAACTGTTAGAGAAAAATCTTAAGCTTAGGAGGGATAGAGAGCTCCCGTATCCTAATCCAGCTTGATTGATCCATTTAACTTATCGTCTTCCTTGCCCACGATCAATCAGGACCACTTGGTAATAAGGAGATTTCACGGTGAACACAACATTTCTGGTATTAAGGTTGTTGATCGGTCGACGATTAGTCAGTTAACCTAAAAATCAAACCAAAAAAGTTGGTTAATCAGCTAACCGCAACCGATAATAACTCTGTCGGTGGCGGTGACAGTTGTGAGTTTTAGCGACGTTGGCTAACTTATTGGTTGTTAGTGCTAACCGATAAATAATCATTGCACCGTTACTAACCGAGAGTATAGCCACAGAGCCACTAGCCACCCCATCGAGACCTCCCTATGACTCTGCATTCTCAAAATCACAACTCTCATCCAAAACACTCCCTCTGTCCATCCAAATACATACATCTCCATTGACGAACCCCAAATCCCTTTAGACATGCAACGAACCCTAACCCCCAAATCACCAAATCTCTCCATGCATCCAACGAAACCTAACCCCAAATCCCCATATGGAAGTTTGAATCAACGACGGCAAAAGAATCAGAGAATCAATCTGGGGAGGCTTCTGGTTGATCATCATCCTGCCTTCCACGTCCTCTCTTAGCATCGCTCGTCATTTGGTTGTTCCTTGATTTGCATGTTTCCGCCGCGTCGTCGCCCATGTTCCTCCCCGCCCAGCCTTCCTTATACTCGATTGTCGAACGCTATCACCGTGTGAAGAAGCTTCTGATTAGGCGGAGAAGAAGCATAAGATAAAGATTGAAAGTTCTTTCTTTTGATTTGCAGAGAAAAGAAGATTGAGAAGAAAAGAAGAGAGGAATTTTAGGTATCAGAGAAGAGAGGGGGAATAGAGAAGATGGAAGAGAGAGCCTGATTACTCGATATTTGCACATGTTTTCCCCTGTGTTTCTTGATCGTTTGAGCTTTAATTATCACATCTTTGGCCTATTTTACGCTAGGTTGTGTTCCTTTGTCATATTTCAGGTCCTAGCACATAAAGTGAAGCATAGGCGCAAGTTTCAAGTCAATCAGAGATCAATTGGCGATTCGGGAGCAGAAACTCGGGCATGACCTGAAGAAGAATGGATTTCTACCTCACTTTATGGACAAAGAATCATGCAAGCTTGTCATGAAAAGAAAGAGGACGAGACTACGAGCGTCTGGGATCAAACGGCGACTGATTCGGAGTCCGGACGAGGGAGAAACGAAGCATTGAATATAGGGGAACATGTTCGGCAGTAAAAACACGGGCGCGCGTAAATCAAAACACGGCCGTGCCCATATTTAGGCACGACCGTGTTTTGGCCGACACGCCCGAGCGTGTTTTTAACACGGGGCAAAACACGGGCTGGCAAAAGCAAAACACGGCCGTGCCCTCGACCGTGTTTTGCCCAGAATCGGGTTTTTTAACCCAAATTCGAGCTAAAGGAGAGGGAGAGCTGGGTTTTGGATCCCAAACACCCAAGGGATGAACCAAAGAGAGAGAGGGCGATTTGAGGGCATTCTTGGAGTGGAATTGGAGGATTTCTTTGCCTTGGAAGCTCGAGGAACAAGCCCGGACTTGAAGACTGATCATCTGAAGATTCTTACTGCAGTCTCTCTCTTCTCTATGGAGTAACTTCCCTTCACTTAGGTTTTGAGGAACCCTAGCCATGTTTGTTTGATTATGAGTACTCTGACTTGGTAATCTTGAGTTCATATTCAATCTATGCATGTTTTCATTGCTTTTGTAGTTATATCTTATGAGTTATATTTTGTTAACTCTTTCACACAACACAATTATGAAGTTGAAATGAGATGGTCATATCTAGTTATTTTACAAGCTCAAGTTAAAATCTCCTTGCTAGATTTCTAGCTACTATTGTTCACAAAGATAGAGTAATGCCTGTTGTGGATTGACTTAGTAGAGTTGTGTATTGACTAAGTAGGGTCTGTAGTGGAGAAGGAATGCATACGACAAGGACAAAGAGTCAAAGAAGGGAGATCCCAGGCGAGACTCTTTGTTCACGTTCATGTCGTAGAGGTTGGGGGTAAAGAAAGAGGAACGAGATTTCAAGGAGGAGAAACAACGGGTGAGGGGAATAGCGTAAGTGAGACCTACATCGTTGGGGTGAGGAGAAATAAAAAAATATTAACATTTTTTTACTGAAAATTATTATTATATAATAATTAAAAACTTATGGACAATATGGTAATTTTGCATGCTCTTTGATCGCTATTGACGAAAATAGTGACAGAAGGATATATTAATTATGTTCCACTAATAGAGGGATATAAAAGTGCCAAAAAAAAGTAGAGAGTAATTTTTGTTAATTTACAATAATAGAGAGGTCATGCTACTAACGCTTACTTAATTTATAGTTAAGCCATGATTAAAACACATTTTCAGCATAAAAACTACGGGTGGGCACGTGGGTGGCTAATCCGCGGATTGATATCGATCCACCCGCAAATAACCCGACCCGCACGTAGCGGATGATTAATGTGGGTGGATTGCGAATTGGTAAATCTCCCACCCGCACTTATGTGGGTGAATGGTGGATGGATTGCGGGTCACCCATATGACCTGCATCCTATTTTTATATGAAAAATGTTGTTTCTTATAGTATCGAATATTCATCATATTTCCGAACTGCACTACAGTCTGACCATATACTTCAAAAGGTGAAGAATAAA